GCGATGCACTTGTTACTAGTAGCGAACCTTGCTACTACTAGCTTCTTCTGCGTCCTCGCGACGCAAACATGTTTACTGTCTACTGCTAGTAATAACAAGTGCCTTACTAGTAGTAACAGGTGCCACGCTACTAGGAACAAGTGCATCGCTACTAGTAACAAGTGCCTTACTAGTAGTAACAAGAAGCTACTAGGAACAAGTGTTTAATACTAGCTGTCTTTTGCCCCCTATCGTCTAACTTCTCCGTTGAAGAAAAGGAAATGTCTTAACTTTGTGCATGTCCATCGTCGCTCAGTCTAATGCTTTTTGCTTGAACCATTTATTTGAAGAAGCATGGAGATCCTGGAAAGCAAGTGAATCACTTGACTTAGCCAGCTGGGCAAAAATAAGGGAAATACGTAAAGAAAGGAAGAAAGAAGACAAACACAGCAAAACAGAATTTGGTACTGTTTCCTTCAGCAAGGGTTCTTTTGCAGCTTGTTCCAAAGAGATGATCAAACATGTATATAGCAAGCAATGACTGTGTGTTTTTTCAACCTACTAGCGATGGCCTCCAACCTAGTAGCGTCCTTGCTCCTAGTAGCGATGCCCTTTGCTCCTACCCCCCTCCGTGCGAGCGCGCGCGCGCGCGCGGGAAAAGGTCCTAATAGCTTCTTGTTCCAATTCCAATTCTAATTTTAATCCTAATTTAAATACTAATTCTAATAGTAATACTAATCAAATTCTAATTTAAATTCTAATAATACTTAATTCTAATTCGATTTTTATTTTAGTTCGTTTTTCTCTAATAGCAAAGATGGTTCCTAGTAAGGCCAGGAGTCCCTAGTAGCGATGCCCTTTGCTCCTGAGGCATTTCAAAAGTATGATTTGGATGGAGATGGGATGATTGACTTCAAGGAGTTGGCTGCGCTAATGCGTGGCTTGGCAGGGACACCGGTGACACCATGGGAGGATCATGAAGTGAGAGCCTTGCTGAAAGCTATGGATTCCGACAATGATGGGAAGGTTCTTTTGACGGAGTTCGGCACTTGGCTTTTCGGACAACAGATGTCAAAAGACGAGGAGTCCTTGCTGAAAACGGCCGAGCTGAAGTTGACGACCCCAAAAGGAGCCAAAGAAGGAACCGGCATGAACAGCAAAGACAGTAGCAAAGCCGCAGGCAAAGCCGTCAAAGCTCACGGCAAAGCTGAAGGCTCAGGCTTAACGAAGAGCGCCAGCACGAGCAGCAAAAGGAGTGACACCAGTGCACGAGACAAACATCCTCAGGTGCTGCTCCCCAAGAGGAAGCGGTTCTTTCTTTTAAAGCCCGCTCCCCCCTTTACTCAATTAAGTAAGGAACTGAGGTAGCTATTAGCTTAAGTAGCTACTAGCCTGGACGCAGGATAGCTCACGCACTATTCATTTGGTTCCTGGATGTTAAGGGGAAACTTAACCAGACATGTTTAGATACGCTTTTGAGGAGAGAACCTAGGAATGGCCTCCAACCTAGTAGCGACGGCGTCCAACTAGGTGCATCCGCAAAAGGAAGATGTTGAAGACGGAGAAGCAGAAGCTGAAGAGGAAGATGAAGTGGAAGAGACCGGAGAAGACGACGAGGCGGAAGAGGATGAAGAGGACGAACCCGAGGAAGAGGTGGAAGAGGAGGAAGATGAAGTGGAAGATGACGAAGATGGGGCGGAAGAGGATGAAGATATTGACGTTGACGACAAGGAGTTTACAAAGCTCAGTCAAACTGGTAGAAGTGCTTTGTGGCAGAAGTTGATGCCTGCTCGAGAGGGTTCTGCACAAGATGCAGCTGTGAGGATGAAAACTTTGAAGCCACCCAATTCGAAAAGACCGGGAGATCACAAGCATGCACTGCTTTATTTGCAGAATCATGCCGGTTCCAATGTCGAACTCGTTGGCATTAAGCCTCCCGGTGCAGATCGACAGAAGGCATTGCGTTGGTTGAAGGATGCACTCCTGAGAATCAGCGAAGCTGGAGACAAGTCATACCAACTGCCAGTGAAGTGGCTGATTGGGAATTATCGCTTGTGGCCAGACGACGATGATAGTGGATTTGTAGACTTGAAGCACTTGGCGGTTGAGAAGTTGGATGCCATTGGCCAAAAATATGAGGCTCAGTATGTGGACCGAAAGCTTGGCATGGAACTAGGCTCTGTGGGGGGAGACTTAGAATTCAAGATTCGACCGCGGCAGGATCACTACCTCAAGGTGATTGGACCAGTTGCGGAGTATTTTGGATTGAACGAAATCTCCGACAAGGCCTTTCGCCGGCTCAGTCCTGAGGAAAAGGTCGATGTTGAAGCTGAGCATGAACGGAAGCAGCAAAGTTCCTTCATTATATTCCTTCTGACTGCAGTTCATGGTTTGGATCATATCTTTCAAAGTTCTGCCAAAGAGATTTGCGAAAGTGTGGGTGGTACCTCACGTGCACCTCCTCCAAAGGGCTTTATGCGAATGTGGGCCAAGCTTGACACGGACCATGCAAAGGCAGAAAGCCCGAGGGCGGCAGAGAATATCGACACCAATCGGGTTGCATGGATTTTTGAGGAGCCCTCACAACTTCGTGATGCTTTCAAGAAAGCCATGGAGGTCTTTGGAGCCCCACTTCGAGTGAAGAATGGATATGATCCAAACTTTGATGCCATGGGGGAGACGAAAGGTTATCGTAATATTTTAGCCAATTACAAGTTCAGCCCATCGCTCACCTGGGGAACTCTTGCTAAAGAGTCAACGACACAAGCTGCCTGGGACAACTTTCGGATCTTTGCTTGAATTCATATCCGGTTCGAGTGTAGGTTGGAGGCCATCGCTAGTAACTAAGTAGGTTGGAGGCAATCGCTAGTAGGTTGGAGGCTGGAGGCCATCGCTTCTAGGTCGGAGGCCATCGCCAGTAGGGTGGAGGCCATCGCCATTAGTAACTCAAAAGCAGAAAGCTCGTCTTAGATTCAGCCAAGCAGAGCTGTCAGCTGTGAAACGTGACTCAGGAAGTTGCTGCTGAGCACCTTCTTGAACATGGGTTACGCTGACGAGACTGCTTTTGATGAAGAGCTTACGTACTACATGCATTGTTGTGATGCAGCACGGGCACACTATTCCAACCTGGACAAGGAACCTGTGGAGATTGTAGTCGAGATCCAGTACATGCTCGCATCATACTTTGACATGCGGAAGTACACCCACACATGGTACAAGATTGTTAGGGCAGAAGATGCTGAAGCCTTGGTTGTTGACTACAACTCTTGAAGCTTGACTACATGTCAACCCGTCAGGCAGAGCTCACACTGAGGCTACCATCTAAAAGGGCTTTGCATCGAATCCTGTAGTGCACTGCCAAAGTTGTCCTAGCATATGCAAATTGAACAATGAAAAGAATCGACTTCTGCAATGAATCTGCTTTTCAGTCCCCCTTGTCACTTTAAGTTTCAGTTGTGTCGCTGGGCGCAGGAAGCAACCATTAGAAGTGCCTTCCAAAGGAAGTGGCCATGCAAAGCATGGCAATGCACTGCGAGTCCAATTGTTTTTCCGTCAGAGATGCAGCATACCTGACATGGCAACACGCGCCTCTTTCGAGAAAGATCTGAAGACACGTCAGCACTTTCGTGAAAGTTTCGGTTTGCCACAAGAACAGAGTGTACTTTTTTCCTTAGACCATTTCGTCTTTTTGATGTGTTTGTTTTTTAAGCAAGCAGAGTATAGTAGCAAGAAGCTACTAGGGCTCCTGGCCTTACTACTAGGAGCAAGGACGCTACTAGGGGCTCCTGGCATCGCTACTAGGAGCAAGAAGCTACTACTTTGGTTGCTTAGCTTGTTGTCCGAAAGACCGCATAACATGGCGTCGCGGCGCACGGCATCTTTTTCAGGTCGAAAACCTGAGTTGTAATCCAGTCATGGTGAATGGCAGGTGCTGCCATTGATCACTTGACCAAATCAAGCTTGTTTTGACTGATGTGCATTTCAGCTTTGTGTTTTCCCGGCATGTTCCTTTTGATTTTGTGTTTTCCTTCTTCGTCATGTTAGTGTTTTCTGTCGGGGTGACAAGATTGGCATATTGTGGTTGTGTTCGTGTTTTGGCCCCAGGCCATTGAAGAAGAGCCAAAGAGGGAAAATCTTTCCAGGCGATTGCCTTGCATTCTTAGCGAAGAGTGGGCGTGAAAAGGACGGAAGAGTGCTGTTTCTTTGGCGCAAACAAGAAACAAAAGTTACAAAAGGAAAGAAGAAGTCTTGGAGATGGAAAAACGAGGGTGATTGATCTTTTTTCAGCGCCCGGAAGCTCGTGTGTGTGCAGGAGACCTTTTTGGAATTCAGTTTGCACATTGACAAGAATGAGCAAACACAATGCATGATGCAAATGATGCAAGCAAGAAACAACCATTGAGCCGCATGGCCAAAGGGAGGATGCGAGTGCAACCGATTCTTAAGTCAACGACGGCACACAGTTGCCTTGCTGGTCTTTGCGCTTGTTGGCCGGATTATGCTGGTGCAAGCTAGTAGGTTGGAGGCCATTCCTATTAGTGACTCAAAAGATTGTTTTGCTTTTAGTAAGGCCAGGAGCCCCTAGTAGCGTCCTTGCTCCTAATTGGTAACTCCAAGTCGGATTATGCTGTTGCCCTTTTTGGATCGAAGTCACTTAGCGACAGCACTGAAAGTGGCCAATACATAGAAGGCCAGTTGTGCGGGAGGCTCCTTGTGCTTTTTTGCTGTTTTTGGCTTCTTGTTACTACTAGTAAGGCACTTGTTACTAGAAGCGATGCACTTGTTCCTAGTAGCGTCTTTGGTTTCTGCTGTTTCTTTCCAGGTTGGAGTATGGAAGACTACTATGGCATCCTGGGAGCATCACACTGAGGACATGTCTCGACCGCAAACACCGCAAACCGAAACGAAACCGAAACTGAGGTGTCCCGGGATGCCAATGAGGCCGACATCAAAAAGGCCTATAGGAAGGACAGATGCGATGCGACGAACAAGGGCATCGCTACTACGAACGGAACAAGTAACTACTAGCGTGGCACTTGTTACTAATAGCTTCTTGTTACTACTAGTAAGGCACTTGTTACTACTAGTTAAGTGTAGTTATTTAAGTTCAATTAGCTCAGCTTACGTTGCAGTAGTCTTTGTGCAGGAAGCATTGAAATGGCATCCAGACAAGAACCCGGACAACAAGGCGCCGGCGAGCAGAGTTGAAGACCGAGGGTCTTTTCGGTGAAAAAGGTAGCCTTATTAAAGGCCTTATTAAAGGAGCCCCTGATAGCGAACATTGCTCCTAGTAGTAAGGCTAGAAGCCCCTGCCCTAACACTTGACTA